CTGTAATCCCAATACTGGGATGGATCACTTGAACCCAAGAGGTTGCAGCTGCAGTGAACCATGTTGGTGCCACTGGACTCCAGCCTGGGCAACAGAGTGAAATCCTATCTCAGAAAAAAAAAACAAAAAATGAAAAGAAAAGTACTGAAATCACAACTATATACTAAATGAATTTGGATTATTTCTGTTCGAATAAATCAACTACTTTAAAATAATTTGTTAAAATTTGTCCTTTGGCTGTACACAGTGGCTCATACCTGTAATCCCAATACTGGGATGGATCACTTGAACCTAGGAGTTCAAGACCAGCCTGGGCAACATGGTGAAACCCCACCTCTATAAAGTATACAGAAATTAGCTGGGCATGGTGGCCTCTGTGCTACTCGGGAGTCTGAGGCAGGAGGATCACTTCAGCCCAGGAGGTCAAGGCTTATAGTAAGCCATGATTGCACCACTGCACTCTAGCCTGGGTGACAGAGTTAGACCCTGTCTCAAAAAAAAAAAAAAAAATCAAATTGTTTAGTTAACAGAGGTATCCAATCTTTTGGCTTCCCTGGGCCACACTGAAAAAGAAGAATGGTCTTGGGGCACACATAAAATACTAAAATGCACTAATACTAATAATAGCCGATGAGCTTAAAAAAAGTTGCAAAAAAATCTCATAAATCTCATAATGTTTTAAGAAAGTTTACAATGTTTTGTTGGGCCATGTTCAAAGCCATCCGAGGCCACAGGTTGGACAAGCTTGGTGTAGTATATAGTCATCAAAAATTTCATGACTTTAGTACTATTCTAGGTACTGGTATAAAACTGATGCTGGTCAGGGGGTGGTGGTTCACACTTATAATCCCAGCACTTTGGGAGGCTGAGGGAGGAAGATTGCTTGAGCCCAGGAGTTCAAGACCAGCCTGGACAAGACCCTGTCTCTACAAAAAATTTTAAAAATATAGCCAGGCACTGTGGCACGTGCCTTTAGTCCCAGCTACTTGGGAGGTTGAGGTGGGAGGATCACCTGAGCCCAGGAGTTCTGGGCTATAGTGCAATATGCCTATCAGGTATCCACACTAAGTTCAGCATCAATATGGTGACCTCCCAGGAAGGGGGGACCACCAGGTAGCCTAAGGAGGGGTGAACTGGCCCAGGTCGGAAATGGAGCAGGTCTCCCGTGCTGATCAGTAGTGGGATCGTGACTGTGAATAGCCACTGCACTCCAGCCCAGGCAACATAATGAGACCCCATCTCTG